TGACAGGTGATCTTACAGATGATGATACAGCATGTAGTGAGATGTTTACTCATTAAATGACAGGTGATCTTACAGATGATCATAAAGCATGTAGTGAGATGTTTACTCATTAAATGACAGGTGATCTTACAGATGACCATAAAGCATGTAGTGAGATGTTTACTCATTAAATGACAGGTGATCTTACAGATGATCATACAGCATGTAGTGAGATGTTTACTCATTAAATGACAGGTGATCTTACAGATGATCATACAGCATGTAGTGAGATGTTTACTCATTAAATGACAGGTGATCTTACAGATGATCATACAGCATGTAGTGAGATGTTTACTCATTAAATGACAGGTGATCTTACAGATGATCATACAGCATGTAGTGAGATGTTTACTCATTAAATGACAGGTGATCTTACAGATGATCATACAGCATGTAGTGAGATGTTTACTCATTAAATGACAGGTGATCTTACAGATGATCATACAGCATGTAGTGAGATGTTTACTCATTAAATGACAGGTGATCTTACAGATGATCATACAGCATGTAGTGAGATGTTTACTCATTAAATGACAGGTGATCTTACAGATGACCATGAAGCATGTAGTGAGATGTTTACTCATTAAATGACAGGTGATCTTACAGATGATCATACAGCATGTAGTGAGATGTTTACTCATTAAATGACAGGTGATCTTACAGATGATCATACAGCATGTAGTGAGATGTTTACTCATTAAATGACAGGTGATCTTACAGATGATCATACAGCATGTAGTGAGATGTTTACTCATTAAATGACAGGTGATCTTACAGATGATCATACAGCATGTAGTGAGATGTTTACTCATTAAATGACAGGTGATCTTACAGATGATCATACAGCATGTAGTGAGATGTTTACTCATTAAATGACAGGTGATCTTACAGATGACCATACAGCATGTAGTGAGATGTTTACTCATTAAATGACAGGTGATCTTACAGATGACCATACAGCATGTAGTGAGATGTTTACTCATTAAATGACAGGTGATCTTACAGATGACCATACAGCATGTAGTGAGATGTTTACTCATTAAATGACAGGTGATCTTACAGATGATCATACAGCATGTAGTGAGATGTTTACTCATTAAATGACAGGTGATCTTACAGATGATCATACAGCATGTAGTGAGATGTTTACTCATTAAATGACAGGTGATCTTACAGATGATCATACAGCATGTAGTGAGATGTTTACTCATTAAATGACAGGTGATCTTACAGATGATCATACAGCATGTAGTGAGATGTTTACTCATTAAATGACAGGTGATCTTACAGATGATCATACAGCATGTAGTGAGATGTTTACTCATTAAATGACAGGTGATCTTACAGATGATCATACAGCATGTAGTGAGATGTTTACTCATTAAATGACAGGTGATCTTACAGATGATCATACAGCATGTAGTGAGATGTTTACTCATTAAATGACAGGTGATCTTACAGATGATCATACAGCATGTAGTGAGATGTTTACTCATTAAATGACAGGTGATCTTACAGATGATCATACAGCATGTAGTGAGATGTTTACTCATTAAATGACAGGTGATCTTACAGATGACCATGAAGCATGTAGTGAGATGTTTACTCATTAAATGACAGGTGATCTTACAGATGATCATACAGCATGTAGTGAGATGTTTACTCATTAAATGACAGGTGATCTTACAGATGATCATACAGTATGTAGTGAGATGTTTACTCATTAAATGACAGGTGATCTTACAGATGATCATACAGCATGTAGTGAGATGTTTACTCATTAAATGACAGGTGATCTTACAGATGATCATACAGCATGTAGTGAGATGTTTACTCATTAAATGACAGGTGATCTTACAGATGATCATACAGCATGTAGTGAGATGTTTACTCATTAAATGACAGGTGATCTTACAGATGATCATACAGCATGTAGTGAGATGTTTACTCATTAAATGACAGGTGATCTTACAGATGATCATACAGCATGTAGTGAGATGTTTACTCATTAAATGACAGGTGATCTTACAGATGATCATACAGCATGTAGTGAGATGTTTACTCATTAAATGACAGGTGATCTTACAGATGATCATACAGCATGTAGTGAGATGTTTACTCATTAAATGACAGGTGATCTTACAGATGATCATACAGCATGTAGTGAGATGTTTACTCATTAAATGACAGGTGATCTTACAGATGATCATACAGCATGTAGTGAGATGTTTACTCATTAAATGACAGGTGATCTTACAGATGACCATAAAGCATGTAGTGAGATGTTTACTCATTAAATGACAGGTGATCTTACAGATGACCATACAGCATGTAGTGAGATGTTTACTCATTAAATGACAGGTGATCTTACAGATGACCATACAGCATGTAGTGAGATGTTTACTCATTAAATGACAGGTGATCTTACAGATGATCATACAGGATGTAGTGAGATGTTTACTCATTAAATGACAGGTGATCTTACAGATGACCATACAGCATGTAGTGAGATGTTTACTCATTAAATGACAGGTGATCTTACAGATGATCATACAGCATGTAGTGAGATGTTTACTCATTAAATGACAGGTGATCTTACAGATGATCATACAGCATGTAGTGAGATGTTTACTCATTAAATGACAGGTGATCTTACAGATGATCATACAGCATGTAGTGAGATGTTTACTCATTAAATGACAGGTGATCTTACAGATGATCATACAGCATGTAGTGAGATGTTTACTCATTAAATGACAGGTGATCTTACAGATGATCATACAGCATGTAGTGAGATGTTTACTCATTAAATGACAGGTGATTTTACAGATGATCATACAGCATGTAGTGAGATGTTTACTCATTAAATGACAGGTGATCTTACAGATGATCATACAGCATGTAGTGAGATGTTTACTCATTAAATGACAGGTGATCTTACAGATGACCATAAAGCATGTAGTGAGATGTTTACTCATTAAATGACAGGTGATCTTACAGATGATCATACAGCATGTAGTGAGATGTTTACTCATTAAATGACAGGTGATCTTACAGATGATCATACAGCATGTAGTGAGATGTTTACTCATTAAATGACAGGTGATCTTACAGATGATCATACAGCATGTAGTGAGATGTTTACTCATTAAATGACAGGTGATCTTACAGATGATCATACAGCATGTAGTGAGATGTTTACTCATTAAATGACAGGTGATCTTACAGATGATCATACAGCATGTAGTGAGATGTTTACTCATTAAATGACAGGTGATCTTACAGATGATCATACAGCTTGTAGTGAGATGTTTACTCATTAAATGACAGGTGATCTTACAGATGATCATACAGCATGTAGTGAGATGTTTACTCATTAAATGACAGGTGATCTTACAGATGACCATAAAGCATGTAGTGAGATGTTTACTCATTAAATGACAGGTGATCTTACAGATGATCATACAGCTTGTAGTGAGATGTTTACTCATTAAATGACAGGTGATCTTACAGATGATCATACAGCATGTAGTGAGATGTTTACTCATTAAATGACAGGTGATCTTACAGATGACCATAAAGCATGTAGTGAGATGTTTACTCATTAAATGACAGGTGATCTTACAGATGATCATACAGCATGTAGTGAGATGTTTACTCATTAAATGACAGGTGATCTTACAGATGATCATACAGCATGTAGTGAGATGTTTACTCATTAAATGACAGGTGATCCTACAGATGATCATACAGCATGTAGTGAGATGTTTACTCATTAAATGACAGGTGATCTTACAGATGATCATACAGCATGTAGTGAGATGTTTACTCATTAAATGACAGGTGATCTTACAGATGATCATACAGCATGTAGTGAGATGTTTATTCATTAAATGACAGGTGATCTTACAGATGACCATAAAGCATGTAGTGAGATGTTTACTCATTAAATGACAGGTGATCTTACGGATGATCATACAGCATGTAGTGAGATGTTTACTCATTAAATGACAGGTGATCTTACAGATGATCATACAGCATGTAGTGAGATGTTTACTCATTAAATGACAGGTGATCTTACAGATGATCATACAGCATGTAGTGAGATGTTTACTCATTAAATGACAGGTGATCTTACAGATGATCATACAGCATGTAGTGAGATGTTTACTCATTAAATGACAGGTGATCTTACAGATGATCATTGAGCATGTATTCAAGGAAGCGAGAGAATTAGCACTGAAACTTTGTGTAAAGAGTAAAATGATATTGTTATCCATAAAAGTGTCATGTAGGCATGTACCCAGACAGCTGATCATTACAGACAGTTGATCTTATAGTCAGACAGTACCCTTCTTTGTTGATAATGTTATATGAAAAAAAACAAGGCTGCCCATATGGTCTCTTCGGCTGCACAGCTCAGGAGAGATTATTGTGCGGTATCCACGCTGTACAGTATTGCAGCACTGAGGCTGGTAGCCGAAACTAAACAAGCTCAACCTCCCTGCATTAAGTACAAATATAACCCTGATGATCGAAGTGCAGATACAAATTATTTGTCAAAGTCCAAAGAAAAAAAGGTTGGAAATATACCATGTGAAGATTGATTTTAGATATTTGATGCTCTGATTGTTCCTACTGTCTTTTATTGTGCTGAGGTATGGGCCACCTCATATTGTGCAATTATTGAAGTTGTATAGCATAAAATGTGTAAATGGTTTCTAAAAATATACTCTACAAAAAAAGAAACTTGACATGCTGGTTTGGAGTTTACTTCCTGAGTGCATAAAACTGATTCAAACATGACATCAGTGCTCAGTTACAGTAAAATCATCACTTTACAAATTTCCAAAACATGATTATCCAGAAAGTGTTTGGTAAAACCACAGAGGGCTATTGAAGCCACTTGGTGAGAGTAAAATGTCAGTATCTGGTGTGACCACCATGAGCATCGATAACAGCTTGGCAGCAGTGACCCATAGAGGAAAGAAGATGCCGAATGCTGTCTTGGGGAATGTTTTGATACACTTGCTGAAGTGCTGTGTGCAGTTCTTGTAGTGTCTGAGGTAGCGGAGACCGCCTCCGTGGTGTATAAGTAGTGGTTAGAGCGTCCGCCCGGAGAGCGGAAGGTCGCGGGTTCGATCCCCGGCCGCGTCATACCAAAAGACATTAAAATATGGTACTTGTTGGTCCCTGCCTGGCGATCGGCATTAATGGGTACAACAAGGACTGGTCGGCTCGGAGTCAGTATAATGTGTCTGAGTGGGGTATTCATGCTTCACTGCGGCATGGTACCTCAGTGAACTAGCACTATAAAACCAGCTTAAGTCTGGGCTAGTACAAGCAGCCCCACATACACATACACACTCATGCACGTCGTCATATGAGCGAAATATTCTCCAGCGAGACGTTAAACCCAATTTCACCTCACCTCACCTGAGGTAGCGGATTACGCTGGCGCAAGCGTCGATCAAGAGTATCCCATAGATGTTCAATGGGGGACAAATCCGGTGATCGAGAAGGCCAAGATAACAACTGAACATTGTTTTGCTAGAGGAAGACCTGTCAAACATGTGCAACGTGAGGTCGAGCATTCTCATGTTCCAAAGATCACGTTGACGTAGGGAACGACGTGACGTTGAAGTGGTCTTCTGGCAAAAAGTCTGGCTTTCCATAGCCAATTGCGCACTGTCTGGTCGGAGATTCGGAGCAGTCCAGGGATTTGGATTGTTGTGGATGATGTGGCCGTGGTGTTTGAACGAAAATACCTCAACTGGATGTAGCGATCCTGGGCGGCGGTGGTGGTAACTCCAGGTCGACCTGATCTGGGTCTGTCATTAACACACCCAGTAGTTTTGTATTCGGGTCCATAGGTTTGAAATGGTTTGTCTGGACACGCTGAAGTGCCTTGCAACATCATGCTGCGATGTCCGTCCTTGTCAGCGATGGCGTTGTGTCGTTGAGCTTCTCTCAGCCTTTTCATTCTCTTGTCGTCTATGGTGGCTTAAAACAATGCATGTGCAGTACCATTAATTAATCATAGGCTTCAGCTCAGGGTGATACACAATTTCATGATGCTCGTGCATTTCATGTATGTAGGGTGCGCTTTAGCGATTCACTACAGACGTGACTGTTTGTTAAACGTTTCTTTTTTCAAACGTTTTGTCGTCGGCAACCATTCCCCCACATGCTGGGATTCTGCATGGATTGGTTTCTATTTTCCTAAAATTCAAATTTGTCCTATGTCAAGTTTCTGTTTTGAAGAGTTAAAACAACAAACAATGTTCTGGTATTGGTAGAGTGTCGCAGAGCCCCTGTCCAACTTCTGTATACCACCAGGGTTATCAAGTATTGGTGCAGGCTACTGTATTTGGCTGATTACAGACTGCCGCGCCAGTGTTCAAATCACAGGCCATCTCGAATCGTACCACATGGGCTACTCATATTAAAAATATTCTGTTGTGGTTTACACAAAATGTGGGAAATGTTGTTAAATGTAGAAAGCTATCTTGCACTTGTAATAACTTAGCTGATACAAAACGGGGTGTGGTGTTAACAAAGAAGGGTAGTCTTTAATGCTAAGGTACAACTTATTGGGCAGGGCGAACAACTTGCACACAAATTATAGAGTCCGACAGAGGCTACAAGGGGAAAGTGATGCTGACACTTGGCGTTAGATACCTGGATTGACTGGTCAGTTCGCCCCTTCAAGTCCCTGGCTTGCCTTTCTTCTGGTTTGTCCGTGCTCCTCTCGATGTCTGTCGGCCCTGACCTATTTGCTTGTCCAGCCTACTTTTAAAGCAGATGAGCGACTAAAGTACTACCGGAAATAGAAAACAACAACGACTGGTTTTAGGGTGTTACTCTATATCCCTAAAATTTACACAACTGAAAATAGCATATGTCGAAATAACCCACAGCGGGCTAACTGGGTTCAGCGGGATGCGCAAAACGATATCTAGAAAAAGCATGTTTACTCGTAAAATCGGGCAACACTAAGGAAACATACGAATAGCTGCTGAAAATAATAGATAAGACTATAGGTGGCAATTAGGTCGCTCAGCCAGGTATGACGACGGACCGTGGACTCACCTGGCATGAAAAGCATGTGCTGCCGTCAGGCACAAGGGGCCATCTCAAAGATATTTTAGGCCTTTTCATGTGTGTTGAAAATTGATCTTACGTGTCTTTCTTTCATAAAGCTTATGTTGATATATGTAAAAAGGATGATACCCATAGAAAAGCTTAAGAAAAGCCATCGTATTTAATGTCTCAAAGTATATATACGTGGCATGACCACCTAGAGATCGACAGGACTGGATATTATTTGCAAATTGTTATGACATGCCGTTTAGTTCCCCAGTTTAATTCCACAAAGGATTTCTTATCTTAGCTGACTGACTGACTGACTGACTGAGTTTGGTTTTACGCCGCTTTTAGCAATATTCCAGCAACATCACGGCGGGGGACACCAGAAAATGGGCTTCACACATTGTACCCTTTGTGGGGATTCAAACCGGGTCTTCGGCGTGACGAGCCAATTATCTTAGCTGATATCTCTATTCCCCCAGCCCGTCCTCAATCCATGTTGGTTTTGCTTTTGAGACGAACCCTTATACCTGTTTCTTTTTACAGTGATAGTGAGACTCCATGGTAGCTTCATCCTTAATAGTTTCAGTATTTAAGTTATTGTTTTTTACGTCAGCTATCGTTTATGATGAAGCTAAATCTAATTTCAAAATGGGCATTTAAAAAGTGTCATTTGTAATACAATATCAGTGCTCACTTATTTGCACAAAGCCATGGTAGGTTCATCTGTTCCAAATAAGTCACTTTGGACTTTGCTACTTTCTGCACTAATCTCTCCTCCGTAAAGTCTTTTTTTTTTACGTTTCCTATGTCCCTACCACCGGTCTGCAGTTCTCATGCATATAAGCTGCATAGGTCGGTAATTCTCATGCACATATTCTGCCTAGCTGACTATGTTTGACGAGCTTGACGTATGCCCGACAAGTGTGCACAACAATAGTGCTACAGACAGTGTTACAACAGTGCTGCAACTTATCCTAGATATTTCATAGAATAATCCACTAACACTAACACTCTTAAATATACAGAATAGCAGACACTAAAAAGAATTTAAAATTACATCTGTAATAACACATATAAGTATTGTGTCCTGAATTTTGTTCTGAAAGTTTATTAAATGACCATTGAAACTGTCGTGAAAACGGGTGAAAACGAACTGTGAACCCCTCCTTTCTGAAAAAAGCTGAATCCAGCCCTGTGTACTTCATTCTTTTACATTGGAATCACATGTGCTCTGTAGAAATTGAAAGACACTATGATGGAATGACAAAACGGTTTGGTGTCTCACTGTAAACAACTTAAATCAGGCCCAGTAGGGCACAGTCGATCAAAAAGTATGTAGCCTCGCCTAGGAAAAGATACAAATGCAGCTGTTTTTATGTTTTATTTTTCTCTACATGTAATCTGTCAACCTCAAGCAAATTGCTTTTGTTATGTTCCAGTGTCACGATCACCATTTTGTTTGACTTTTAATCGCCCCTCGTGAGGTCATCACACACAATGTTGGTCTTCTGGCGACTTGAGATGTAATGTGAGATGAGAGGCAATAACCAGCTCTCCTTATATACCTCTCACCATCCTCGATAATCTCCAGGGTATACCTTTCGATCACTCTATTGGAGAGTGATCGTAACGTATACCCTGGAGATTATCGAGGATGACCTCTCACAGGCAGATGATTCTGGAATACGGCCCTTATGGTCCTTTCACGGTCATTTTATAATCTGCTGTGAGTCTGAACATGGTGGAGCCTCCAGAATCCCATCTAAATATAGCACCAGACTAAATATGGCACACCACTGCCCATTACGGATTCTTCAGGTAGATTGTATACTAATTGAAACTTTATTCTACCACAACAACAAATGGGGATAAATATACTATTCACACCTTGCTAAGGATCAAATCATTGATTCAACAGAATACTATGATGTGGGGTCAAATTTGGTTTAAATATCTAAGCTTATTGTAAGCATGGTATGTCACTGCATCTTGTGGATCCCAAACCTGCTATTGACAGGTGTTGTGTTCTTGTCAATGACTCGTTCCATGATTTGCAAAATGGTTGATTGGTGCCATGAAAACCATTTTTATGGTTACTCGTGTATCAAGTGCATAAGGTTAGATAATAGTGGCTGTTTGCCTAAAGAGGGATGATTACCATATCATTATTCATATAGTTTTGTATGGATACAGTTTCAAATTATAAATCTTTGTTTAAGTAGAGTTGGGAATTTGTGTGATCCTTAGCAAAGTGTGAGTAGTATAGTATGAGTAATTTGAACTTTAAACTTTAGTAATACTTAGTAACTTCACAAAATGCAATGAAATAATTGACATGTCCTGTTTGTTTCAAATTCTAAATTGAGGAGTGCAGCACCCTCCTACCAAACAGATATCGATGCAGGAATGCTTATTTGATAACTCCAAATGGGCTTGGTGGAAAGGCTTAGCCCTGTTCATTCAGTGAGGATATACAGGTAAAAAATAAAATTAATCAGATCAAAATTATTTGTTTATTAGCTTCTGAAATGGTGCCAAGCGATGCTGTTTTCGATCCCTTTTTATCAGCTAGTTAGCTTTCCTAATCTATGTCCTACTTTCACAATATGGTGTGTGACCTGACGGAGTCCCTAAGCCATCTTCTTGATATTTTCATGTCTTTGTCGGTTTTGCAATAACTATGAGAAGACATTAAAAAAACTATTTATCACCTATACTGTCAATTTCTCTGTCGGACTGATAACCAGACTGATACAACACGGCAAAGTGGCAAAACGACAGCGACATTTGCGTCATGTAATTTGATAAATCATAGATACCAGAGATTTGAATGAATTATTCGTTCATTTCCATGTCTTATGTAAACGAATTACTGTCTATAGCGCGGTGACATCGCAACATATTGCTTTTAAAAATGTGGTGTATTTGACTATGAATTTTAAGTAACAGGGAGGATTTTTCACGAAAATATGTTGCAACCCGTTCTTGTTTTTTACCTAAAGTAAAGCATTTAATGTTGGTTTGTCCCGTGAGGGCCGCCAGTGGTTGTCAGTCGTCTTGTCAGTCGTTGGACAGTATCCAAAGTACGTGAGATGAGTAAGAATAAGCTTGTTTTAGAGATGGCAGCATTATGTCAAGGCGGTATTTGGTGCCAAGTCAAGACATATCAGTTGATTCGGGAAGCAGATATCACCGAACAGCATTGCATCGACCGCTGTCTGTGCCAGGTCTTACTACAGTTCTTACAACATAATCCCTGAACACAGTCAGCAAGATAACACAAAGGACTCCCGAGAAGACTTGCGTTGAATCCCATGTTTTGTGATCAGAAGGATCAAACCTTCTGTACAACATTGCCATGTTGATGGCCATGTTTAACATCCATTATATTGACTTATAAGTGTGACCTTTGGATAGAAAGGGTGTTGATCGATCACTGAACAGTTAGCATTGTCATTCAATTTGGGGGCACACGACCGTGAGTATTCTGGTCATTTCGTGGCAGAACTTGTGATGATGTCAGCTGATATCTCCTGATACCAGTATCTCTGAGGGTCACAATGTAACAATGTTGGTTGTAAAAATTATTTTTGCTCGCAACTTAAACAATTATTAAATGTCTTCGTATATTTCTTCAGTATTAAATGTAAGCAGAGTTTTAACAAATTAATGAACACTCTGTTTTGCTGTTTGTGGTGTCATATTCTAAACATTCATCTAAACATGATGCAGGTGAAGTTGAGAGATACAGCAGATGGACTTTCTGTCTGAATGATTCACATGTAACGCATCAGATATTCATGTGATGAATATGAGGTAGTGACGAATACGTCACGTGTTATTTCTGTGTAGTCCGACCCTTTTTCTTGGTGTTTGTTGTGTAACCCTTTCAGAAAACTAATTAATCTTAACAGGCGGTGGTGCATTATTGATGATGACACAAAGCAGACCACCAGTGTGATCAGTATTGGATGTGCAGCATAGATAACACAACGACTTTAGGCAGCAACTATGCATTCTTTATTACCTTGCCTGGATGGTAGCCTTTGTCACAAGGGAGCTCAGTTTTAGTGCTATTATACTATGAACCCTTTCTTTGATTTCGGTGTGATGATCACTCCATGGAAATCTATCTTCGTGGTGTTACCAGTTACAGTTTCGCT